AGCAGACCTCAATGATGCAGCAGGTCCTGCAGGCAGTGGGCAGTTCAAGGCAGCCTGTGACATGAAGACTTGTTAGTTTTTCAGAACCCTCAGAAATGAGGCATTGTAAATTCTGTGAAATTAACATGATGAAGATGAATTTGTTATTTGAGAATAGGATGTCTTGAAGGAGAATAGGATTGTGTTTTTCATCACAAGGTAGGTACTGGACCTTCAAACTCAATCTGGCAGTCATGTTTTTCATGTCTCCAATACAAAAGATGTTACAACTGTTAGTTTTACACATCTAACACCAACTCAGGAGCCTATTGGCTTGGTCCTGTTTCAGGAAATAATTATGTATTCCAAGTTTCTAACATGTAGCCATCTTCTTAAAATCACATTCCCTTATTATTCTGTTTCATGCCAGACTATTTTCTTTCCTGGATGAACACACCCTAATTAAAGTATTATTTACAAGATATTTGAAAAAAGCATAATTTACATTGTGTTTGATAGAAAATATGTTTTATTTACATCAATCTCATTAAAATCAGATCTTAGTTCTCGCTACCGCTAAACAAAGTTCTGAGGTCATCCCATTACGGGTCACGTCAGAACAACCTTTCATCCAACCAATCAGAGCGTAGCTTACCAGATCGTGAAAGTGACAGTCAGAATGTGTTTTCTAATCATGAAACCAAGAAATATTTAACACGGGGTATTCCGACCGACAGTTACGGGTTTTATGATCATATCCATACAATCTTGGCCATCTATAAGCCATTCCAGAATGTTCTTCTTATCAGTTTTAATTTTTTAAATCGAGAATACGCCAAAATATGTTTCAAAGCGTAGTCGCCAGTTTGAAACAAGTGTCGTAAAGCTCGAGAAAGCTGCCTTTTGATTGGCTAATGTCGATTTCTTGTCAGTCATTTCATTGGTCGGTTAAAATTCGCGAAAGGTCGTTCTGACGTGACCCTTAATGGGATGTCCTCAGATCTTTGTTTAGCGGTAGCGAAAACTAAGATCTGATTTTAATGAGATTGTATTTACATATCTTTGTTATATTAAGACTTTTGTATTCCAAGAGTACTTCTGGTCACTCCTGATAATGTTATTGGTGCCTGTTGTTCTACCTCCTCCAGATCTCGACATTGCACAAGAATATGAATAACTCTGGCCTGAACAGATTGTCAGGGAAATATATGCTGTTGACTCGCAATATCAAGACACATTTATTACTCACTGGATTTGTACAAAATGCCAGTTATTATTGAAATATGCCTTATCTTCCCTGGTAGCATTGTGTGTAGATATTTTGTCATAATATGGAATGGACATGTATTTCCTTATATTTTGATTTGAATATTTTCTTGAAGGATGTTTTACTTCAAGACAGGAGTATACCTGTTTCATAATATTTACCCTGTTCAATGAAATCAATGGCAACTACCTGGTAATGATTTATGTTCCATAATATACTGATGGAAATAAGTAAAGGAACAGGTATGAAGGTAGGGACTTGTTTGACAGACACGCTGTATGTGCTGTGAAGGGATAGGAAGGGAGGTGTTAGTTTGACAGACACGCTGTATGTGCTGTGAACGGATATGTAGGGAGGTGTTAGTTTGACAGACACGCTGTATGTGCTGTGAACGGATATGAAGAGAGGTGTTTGTTTGACACACGCTGTATGTGCTGTGAATGGATATGAAGAGAGGTGTTTGTTTGACACATGCTGTATGTGCTGTGAACGGATAGGAAGGGAGGTGTTAGTTTGACAGACATGCAGTATGTGGTGTGAACAGATATGTAGGGAGTACTTCTTTGACAGACACGCAGCATGTGCAGTGAATGGATAGGAAGAGAGGTGTTTGTTTGACAGACATGCAGTATGTGGTGTGAACAGATATGTAGGGAGTACTTCTTTGACAGACACGCAGCATGTGCAGTGAATGGATATGAAGAGAGGTGTTTGTTTGACAGACATGCAGTATGTGCTGTGAATGGATATGAAGAGAGGTGTTTGTTTGACAGACACGCTGTATGTGCTGTGAACGGATATGAAGAGAGGTGTTTGTTTGACAGACGCACAGTATGTGCTGTGAATGGATATGAAGGGTGGTACTTGTTTGACAGACGCACAGTATGTGCTTTGAATACGAACAATTTGTGTTGGCAGTGTATTGACATACCAGATATTTCACATATTTTGTTTGATTGAAGCATCGCTATTGAATGCAACATTTTCACCTTCTGTATATTGGTGATATTTACCAAGGCATCTTATGGGCAAGCATCATTTGTATTCTATTTCATGTATTTCCTCTGTAGATGTAAATAAAGCTGACTTAACTGGGGACAATTGGTCACAAAGGAGGCTGAAAAGTTGAAACATACAAACACCATCTCTAAGCTCCACTCCACTCCACTTGTAATTCCTTGCATTGCTAACATCATCTTTTCAGAAACCACCTGACCCATGAAACTGAAATTTCTTGTACTTGTTCCAACTAATGATGATTTCAAGAGGTTTTAATCTGATTTTTCAGTAAGGCTATGCATACGTTTCATTATCCTTGCGGTTCTCATACAAACTGGTATAATTAGAAAACTGCAATATTTTAGAAAGTATAGAAGTTTGACAGTTTTTTAATGTAGACTTTTCTGTTCAGTTTTATGATTGGTACACACACAAGTACAACATAGCTCAACATCATATAGCTCATTGATCCTATTTTTACTTGTTTATCTTTGAACATTTACACTGATTTGTATACATGTACTGTTTCAAAGAATAAAATGGCTGGCATGTGCAAACATTAGTTTTCATGTGATTTTTTTCCATAATAAAAGAATATCTGCTCATTTTCTCAGGACTATATGGAGGACACGTATCTTGTTGTCATCTGTCTTTGTGAAATCACAAGCTGGGACAGAAGTGCCTTTACTTCTGTTGGCGGCATATTCCATCTTGCATTCTCCTCAAAAGTATCCTCCCGTTTCTGTACATCTTCACTCCTTCCCGGCCACTGCGGCTTGTCTTGATACACTCCAGCATCCAAGTTATCCCCGTGTGACTGGCAGTTGTCGTAAGTTTATTGTAATGATTGTCAGTGGCGGCAAATGATTGAAGCGCTACTAAAATGTTAAATGCTGTCACCAGTAGCAAATGATTAGAATTTAGAGTTACCTCCCCTGCTTGTGAACAAACATCACAGACTTGATCATTTGAAAAGTTTTTTGTTTTGTTTCTTTGTTGTTCAATGCTGCACTCAGCAATATTCCAACTATATGACAGTGGACCAGACAATCCAGTGATTGACATCATGAGCATCGATCCACGCAATTGGGATACGATGACATGCATCAACCAAGTCAGCGAGCCTGACCACCCGATCCTGTTAGTTGCTTCTTACGACAGGCATAGTCGCCATTTCTTGATGTCAAGCATGGGTTGCTGAAGACCATTTCTAGCCCGGATCATCATGGGTCTCATTGGCTTCTCATTCATATAAATAAACATGGTTTACTAAAAAAAAACAAAGCCTGTTATAGACTACATTGAGGATACATACATTGGTAGACCACATTGCCGACCTAGACGACCAGCCGGATTTTTAGTTAGTCTGTGGCATGGTGGAATGTCAAATTTAATCAGAAAAATTACTCATAGATATCCGTAATCGTCAACTTCCTGTTTTTTGTTTTTACTCGTGGGACAATGGAGGTACATTTTAAATTATTGAAAAATGCTGTTTTGCAGGCGAAAAAATCCCTCATGCGGGAGACTGGGAGATTTCATCAATTTGCAGGAGTCTGCCGCAAAACAGGAGGGTTGACAGGTCTGAGTGGAAGCAGACCTACCAAGAACAAACAATGCAGTAGTCATGGGATTTCATTGTCACCTCCAGTCCAGTGTCCAGGTTCATCACCCAAACATCTGGACCTTCATTGGTGTCAATCAGAAGGAGCAGGCACTCAAAGAAGTGCAGATGGCGCAGATCGTTCTGGTCAAACTGCCCTCCCTAGAGGAAAGTCTACAGAGACTTGCCCATGTTGTTGAAAATTTTGAGGATATGTACATTTTAGATTTCTTGAGGGCAATTGCTCATAACCTGTCGTTTTAAAATATGAAGTCAAGAACAAAGTGAAATATTAAATCATGAAATCAGGTATTATTGAGGAAGTTACATGTATGAAATATTAAAATGTGAAAATATTTCCCTTTCCTTTGTGGTCCTTTGTGATGGGGGGAAGGAAATGACCTAGGGGGGAAATTTGCTGGGGTGGGTGGGGGCAATTGACTCGGAGCAATTGGCAGGGGGTAATAGGCCTGGGGGGAAATAGGCCTAGACCATGAGCCGGAGATGAGTCGTATAAAACATAACTCGGGACACATTAAACCCCATGTACCCCGAGTGATCCTGCTACAACTAATAGTGTACATGGGGGCACGGGTGGCCCAGTCGTCTAAGGCGCCGCGATTCGCTGTGCAGAGTTGCGCTACTTGGGCACGCCAGAAACCTATGATTGCGGGTTTGAATCCCGGTTCGCCCCGATTATGTTTCTAGGTTTGTCAGCTCAATACCCGTGCTCATGGGTTTCACCGAAGTGGTAAACGTCTGAGACCTGCATCACTTCAGGCTTTCCTCCCACATTAAGCTGACACGCCGTGATATAACAGGAATACTGTTAAAAGCAGCGTTAAACCCAACTCACTCACTCACTCACTATAGTGTACAGTGTTTGAAGTGTTTTGATGACTATAATTAGACTTATACATGGATAACATATTTTATGAACGCTTCACTTGTTATCATGATTGTGGACAGATATTTGAAGTCTGCTGCTTCCATTGTGACAACAATAGATTCTCTTGTTTTTGTTTGCAATATATTTTTCAATTTGACAAATATCACTCATTCTTTTAACGACATCAAAGGCTGTTTTTTGTCGACTCATACTTGATGAATAAATTAATCCTTTGGAGAGCAAAATCCAAACATGACAGAATATTTTGTGAATTCAAGTTTAATATTTAAGTTACAGTTGATAAATATTTCAACCTGTGACCAGAAGTCCTTGACGTGTTCACATTCATAATAAATATGTGATAAATCTTCTCTACAGCATTTACAGAAGGTACAAATACGTATCAAATATGTATCATTATCAACTAGGTTCATCTTTGTGAATAGTGTATAATGAATAAAGCTATATGGAAAATCCAGCAGCTTACAGTCTTTAGTACAGTTTCTATACTATGAAAACATTTTTTTCCAATTAATCATGTTAATAGGAAAGTGGAAAATACCATTTCAGTATTCTAATACTTTAACACTTGTGTCACCCTTGATTATCTTGTCATGTTGCTATTACCGTATTCGACGTAATAAGCGCCCAGGGCGCTCTCAAAATTAGAAATAGGGGGCTCTTATTAGGATAGTATTTTGGTGAAAAAAAACAGAGTTGAAAGGTAAATTCCGTGGTTTATGCTGACAGCCTGAAATGTTTATATAGACATATATTATTCCAGAATTTAATTGCCCATAATAATAGGTGCATATAACAAACGAGTGCGTATTGTATGCGAATAAGTAAGTCATTTGTACATTGATCAATCGGAAAGGGTGCTAATTGGGATTGTTCATTAGCCAATATATTAGCAAATATCGCAGTGGGCGCTTAATAGAGCGGGGCGCTTATTACGTCGAATACAGTAACATGATTAATCAGTTACAGATTAACTTCAACTGAATACATATTAACTCACTTATTTTAATCAACAGTACTCTGTTTCTGATGGTTCATGCCATTTCATGTTCCGACCATTATAGTCAAAATAAGTTTGACTTATGCTAAGCAGGGTAAGTTTTAACTTAGTGAGACTTATAACTTATTCCAGCTCTTGAGACATCCTGGTTAAATTAGTGATACATATAGTAAGAGGTGATGGGGTTGAAATGGGATTTAACGTCGTGTTCGAGATTATTGCACTGATACAGAGACATGCATGAAACTTGTTGTGTCATCTTTTAACATCTTTTGGTACGATGCAGCTGAGGATGAAACAACCGACCTTCCACTCTCTGGGCAGAAATACAGTTTGCCAGGACCAGACTGTGAGTTTGGCACAACCAGGGAGTCTACACATACTTTTTCTAGACAACAGGGTTTGACACATCCATGTTGGAGACCAAGGGTTTGACACATCCAAGTTGGAGACCGTGGGTTTGACACATCCAGGTTGGAGACCAAGGGTTTGACACATCCAGGTTGGAGACAACAGGGTTTGACACATCCAAGTTGGAGACCATGGGTTTGACACATCCAAGTTGGAGACCAAGGGTTTGACACATCCAGGTTGGAGACCAAGGGTTTGACACATCCAGGTTGGAGACAACAGGGTTTGACACATCCAAGTTGGAGATCGTGGGTTTGACACATCCAGGTTGGAGACCAAGGGTTTGACACATCCAAGTTGGAGACCAAGGGTTTGACACATCCAAGTTGGAGACCATGGGTTTGACACATCCAAGTTGAAGACCAATGGTTTGACACATCCAGGTTGGAGACCAAGGGTTTGACACATCCAGGTTGGAGACAACAGGGTTTGACACATCCAAGTTGGAGACCGTGGGTTTGACACATCACGGTTGGAGACCATGGGTTTGACACATCCAAGTTGAAGACCGTGGGTTTGACACATCCAGGTTGGAGACCAAGGGTTTGACACATCCAGGTTGGAGACAACAGGGTTTGACACATCCAAGTTGGAGACCGTGGGTTTGACACATCCAGCCCAGATAGCATTCAGACGTTGGCCCAACGTCGGCAATGGTTGGCAGTGTCGCGGTCGGATTTTATACGTTGGCCCAACGTTGTTACAACGTTAGGTCGCATTTCGGAAATTATTTCCAAGGGGCGCTACTCGTAATTGACAACTTCACAGAGAGGGCGCTGCGTTTTTTGCGCCTCTCAACGAGCAGACGACGAGACACAAGCACACGTTCGATCATCGGAATACCGTTTTCCTCGAATATATAGAGGTAAGTGTTTAATCATTATCTAATATGATGTACAAACAGTACCCGAGAATAAAACAACCATTGTTCATTCAGAAATATCAACACGAGTAATTATTTTCCAGAAATTGAAAACACCACAAACTTCATCAAGTTCATGACCCGAAGCCAAATAGGAATATATGTCACTCTGATTGCTTGCAAATATATAGCTTGCTATTACTAGCATACCCCCCAAAAAGTCGCGCTTGTCCGTATCATAAAGTTTGTCGTTATCGTGAGGACAAGTTAGTGCAAAGAAATGTGCACCGTGTCGCGTAAGTGCAGTTGCAGTGTCGATCTCAGCTGTTTCTAACAGTTGGTGGTCATCGGACAGCGAGCGACCACATGACTACCTAAACAAACACTGACTGTGGTATTTGTAAATGAATACTGGTTGTTTCTATTCTCGTGGAAGTTTAAAAATAACAAGCAAACTCAACTGAAAAGGTCAATTTCGTTCTCGCTTGTGCAATTTTACGGTCAAAAAAGATCAACTAAACTGAACAATTCAGAATGAGGCTTCCAAAACTCAAAGCATTCCGTGTACATGATAAAATAATACCATGCAGACTCCTACTGATCAGTGTACGGAGCTTTTCCCTGTTGTCGGCAACATCGCGAGTTCAGTTTTCGATCACAAATCAGTGGCCGTGGGATTGCGTTTGTTGTTATTTGAAAGGGATTGATAATGGCATAATCGCTTTTTTATTTGTGCATACCGCGGGGGAGTAATGGTTAGAACGAAGGGAACGTATTGGATTAGATTGGGTACGAAATAGTCATGAAATCATTTCCGATTGAGAATAATATATTTCAATAAATATTTACAGAGCTGTTTCAGCTTCATCTTGTGTTGTCTCCGATATCGCATTTTGTTAATTTTTCCAACGTTACTATCTTTGTAAATGTTAGAACTTAGATATAATGGCATATTTATATGGAAAATATTCATATTTTTATTTTTAAAATAAAATAGAATCTAAAATCACGATTTTAATTTAATACCAGTGTTAACACTTCTATTACTTATTGGAAGGTCAATTCATAATCTTATTCAACATTCATGCTTCCAACATTGGAACTCTTTATTTGGCAATATATATTTTTCATTTATTTGTTTATTTTTCACATCAGATTTTAGAAACTTTGCCAACATATGCATGCTATTTTGCATTATTTTTTACTTGATCACAAGTTTGTGAGGTACAGCAGAAACGTAAAGTTATTGCTTTTGAATAATTACAGTTGATTTCTATTGGCTGATAAAACTATTTGCCAAATATAACCACTCACATCATACTGTTAGTAAATCAGATTTATCGCTACTGATTTATTTGAGAATGTTATACTTTGAGGTTTCTATTTTTCTTTCAGGTGGAGTTTACAGTATTGTGGAAGCATATTTGTTTACATCACATCACAGCCAGAAAGGTATACATGATGCAATAAATAATATATTCAAACATCTTCAATAATGGAAATTTAGATGATTCTTATTTAATTACACCCTCAATCTAAAAGGGCGGGTGATCAAGTTTATCTGTCCGTCCTTCCTTCCAAAGACATTTTTTTTGTGTGAGTGCAGTTCAAAGTTTGATTTTGATATGTATATTTTCGGAAAAATAAGATTCTTTAAATGTTTTTAACTTCAAATATTTCTTTTTATGTCAACCTTTGTGCGACCTATCACTTGAACACTACTTCATGGATTCTTTTCCAATTATGGGTACAGTTTCTACACCCACAGGAGAGGTGCAGTGCGAAGTTTGGTTTTGATTAGTGTATTTTCTAAGAAAAAATAGCTTTTGTTATGATTTGAACTTAAAATATTTTTTATTTCAACAATTGTGCTACCTATAACTTGAGATCTACTAGAGAACATGGATTCTGTCCAAATTTAACGAACACTTTTATATTAAAAAATGGGATGCACAGCAAAGGTTGATTTTGATATGTGTATTTTATTAAACAATATAATTTTTGTACATGTTTTGAACTTAAAATGTTTGTTTTTTAATTTAACATTGTGCGACCTTTAACTGCATGGATTCTTTCCAAATTTAAGAAACACTTTCTATGCTAATAAAAGAGGTACAGTGAAAATGTTGATTTTGATATGTGTATTTTCAGAAAAAATATGATTTGTTTCATGTTTTGAACTTAAAATTATTTTCTTCAACATTTGTGAGACCTATAACTTGATGTGCAGTGCAAAGTTTGATATTGATAATTATGCTTTTTCTATGTTTTAAACTTTGAAAAATGAATGAGTCGTTACTCTTGTTCATTTAGTGTTAATAGCTTTTCTGCCTATCTATGATTCAAGAGCATCATGGTATTACTGTCTATGCTACCTTCCCAGTTTTAGCAGTTTTTTAACAGTTTTATGACTTGGATGGGTGGAGGTAGCACTGCTGAAACCTTTTTTTCATACATCAAATTATTATTTAGGGGAAGGCAACCATTTTGTATGTAAAAAATGTCCCTTGCCTTATCATTATTATAATTGTGTCATTGTTTTATTCAGTTACCAAGGCACACAGAGAGACCGTGGATACAGTTGAAGATCATCCCTGTGATAAGTTCTTCTGACATCTGAGGATTGAAAAGGCTCCTCAACCACTCAGCCCAAGTTCTGATTTGTCATGTAACAAATAAATAAAGGTCACCGAAACCAGAATTCTATTGTCATTTTGTTGCTGTTATCATATTTTTTAATAGATCAAGTATATTGATCATAGGACATCCGATGCATGGACGATTTTGCTTGTCTCAGTGTTGCCCTAATGCTGAATGTATGGGGTAAGGCCAAGAAAAATTAAACGTTTCAATTTGTGGCAGGCTTATTGTCTGATGGTTTTTAATTTGCAAACTTGTGTGAAAATCATTTATCTTTTAATAGTGTTGAAACATTTGTGAACAAATTGCACATAGTCTTGAAAATGGTTTTGGAAAGTAAATATTATAGCACCAAATTGCACGTGTAATTTAAAACATTTTGAATTTTTTCTTGGCCCTATTTCAAACTATGTATGCCGAGGTACCCTTCCAGAAGAGAGCGCATTTAATTGGCATGTTCTTTCATGGAATGAGTTCAGAGTGAATCTAACTTGCAGAATGTATTCCTTGTTACCTGATGTCTTAACTACCTTGGTACAAACATTTCAGGCTGCCTGGGAGGTATAGTGAGGAATAAAACAGACGTAATCCAACGTTGGCCATCAACGTTGGGCCAATGTTGGCTATCAACGTTGGCCCAACGTCATTTTGACCGGCGGCCCAACGTTGGGCCAACGTTGGCTGAACATCGTTGTCCCAACGTTGGGTAAACGTTGGCCAAACGTTGGCAAAGAAACGTTGGCCCAACGTTGGGTCAACGTTGGACCAACGATGTTCGGCCAACGTTGGCCCAATGTTGGGCCGCCGGTCAAAATGACGTTGGGCCAACGTTGATAGCCAACGTTGGCCCAACGTAAGTGATAACGTTGGCCCAACGTTGGCCCAACGTCTGACTGCTATCTGGGAGGTTGGAGACCAAGGGTTTGACACATCCAAGTTGGAGACTGTGGGTTTGACACATCCAAGTTGGAGACCATGGGTTTGACACATCCAAGTTGAAGACCGTGGGTTTGACACATCCAGGTTGGAGACAACAGGGTTAGACACATCCAGGTTGGAGACAACAGGGTTAGACACATCCAGGTTGGATACCACAGGGTTAGACACATCCAGGTTGGATACAACAGGGTTTGACACATCCAGGTTGGATACCACAGGGTTAGACACATCCAGGTTGGATACAACAGGGTTTGACACATCCAGGTTGGATACCACAGGGTTAGACACATCCAGGTTGGAGACAACAGGCTTTGACACATCCAGGTTGGAGACAACAGGGTTTGACACATCCAGGTTGGATACCACAGGGTTCAACTGTTGTATTTACTCGAACATCTACATTTATCTCAACAAGTTCAAACCCATGCAGCATCACAAACTCTCTGTATCGAAGGGCACGCGGCTCAGGCAAATTGGCAGGTTCAAACACTTTGTCAGTTACGAAAATGTTCTGATACATCAGCAAAGCAGTAAGTGATCGCCCTACTTACATTGTGGCCAAGTCTCACTCCATACGAAGCACCAGCTGTGTCCTGACCTGGACTGACTCCAGGCCACGCAATCTCATAAAAATCAGACCTTCTACTCCCATACAATACCTCACTGCATGAAGATCTGAGGACACCTCAATACGTTTTTGCCACAGGGGAATATTCTAATCAGCCAATCTGCTTTCTAAATCTTGGTGACCTGTGAAGATCTGGGTTAGAATAGGTCTTCAGCAACCCATTCTTGCCGTAAAGGCGACAATGCTTGTCGTAAGAGGCGACTAACAGGATCAGGTGGTCAGGCTAGCTGACTTGGTTGATGCATGTCATCGTAATCCAATTGTGTGGATCGATACTCATGATGTCAATCACTGGATTGTCTGGTCTTGATTATTTACAGACAGCCGTCACATAGCTGGAATATTGCTGAGTGCAGTGCTAAACAACCCAAACAATCCAACAAACAAACCTTAAGTCTTGGTATAAGTGAGCGAAGCATTCAGACAAGTACATTTCATATCCGTATCGCTAAAATGAATGTAGTAGATGATTTCCGAATGCAAAAACATAAAACCACATGATTATATTGTAGTGGATAGTTTATCCATCCTGTTGTTTCTGAACGCCATGACATCTACGTTCAGTAGGGTGTACTATCAAGGGCATATCTGTGTTCAGCGGTGGTTTTCTTGTGCTAAGGTGTGAAGCAGAATCATTTTAGAAAGCTGACATCAGATTGATCAAGAACCATGCCTCGTTCATTCAGGGTGAATGACCTTCAATGTAGGTGTCTTCACATCTTGACACAGACAGGTATCATATCGGGGTGAAAGATCTGGTTTTAATGACTTTGCAGACTATGGACCCTAGTTCATCTATATCGGGGTAACTGCAGCAAGCATTGGCAGTCTTTCTTAAGTTTAAAGTGTCCCATTGACTTTGGGGAAGGTATCAGACTTCTTCCCCATCAGGTGTCTCTGGGGGTTCCTCTGTGAGTCCGAGATACATGGTGACTAGCGCCAGCCAGACCAGCAGATGGAAGGTGGCACCAGTGATGTTGATGAGCGATGCCACAAGGGACATCCCCATTCGCTGTCGTAGCTGGAGGATGTAGATGATGAAGTTGATGGTGCCCCAGGTCAAGTTGATACCAGCCAGAAGAAACACACCTGTAACACATTAACACACCTACATGAACACACCTGTATCAATGAACATACCTGTATCAATGAACACACCTGTAACACATGAACACACCTGTAACACATGAACACACCTGTATCAATGAACACACCTGTAACACATTAACACACCTGTATCAATGAACACACCTGTATCAATGAACACACCTGTATCAATGAACATACCTGTATCAATGAACACACCTGTAACATATCAACACATCTGTATCAATGAACACACCTGTAACACATCAACACACCTGTATCAATGAACACACCTGTAACACATGAACACACCTGTAACACATCAACACGCCTGTATCAATGAACACACCTGTATCAATGAACACACCTGTATCAATGAACATACCTGTATCAATGAACACACCTGTAACACATCAACACACCTGTATCAATGAACACACCTGTAACACATTAACACACCTACATAAACACACCTTTAACACATTAACACACCTGTAACACATGAAGACACCTATAACACATGAACACACCTGTAACACATGAACACACCTGTAACATGTGAACACACCTGTAATATATGAACACACCTGTAACATGTGAACACACCTGTAACATGTGAACACACCTGTAATACATGAACACACCTGTAACACATGAACACACCTGTAACATGTGAATACACCTGTAACATGTGAACACACCTGTAACATGTGAACACACCTGTAACATGTGAACACACCTGTAATATATGAACACACCTGTAACACGTGAACACACCTGTAACACGTGAACACACCTGTAACAAGCGAACACACCTGTAACATGCGACCACACCTGTAGTAATCAAGATTGCCTTGAGCACCTAGCTGTGAGATTTTGGGTGCTTACTTTCAGCAGCTAGTTGTGAGATTTTAGGTGCTTACCTTGAGCTGCTAGTTGTGAGACTTCCAACGTCCCCTCGGCTTGCATCCCACATGCCACGGCACTTGCTAGGTAGGTATTCCTGCACCAGGACAGGTACCCTAAACATAACAGCAGCTGGCATCACAGGCTCACCACCCAAATACAGTCAAGTCTCGTTTATCCGACACTCGTTAATCCGACAATCGGCTTTATCCAACACAAATGATGGGAACCGATTAAATCAGTGCTGTTAATCCAACAGTCTCGCACTCCCACTCCGACATACCTAATTTGCAACGATTTGCTGAAATCACTCATTAATCAGTCTCGTTAATCCGACACGGTGATCAGCGTACTCCATGGTCATCTGCCCGCGAGTACATAGCCCCGTGTTTTGATGCGAGAGGAGTCGGCGAGTAGCTGCATATTTAAACGGCTGCAGAGATAAACTTTGTGTTTTGTGTTAAACTTTAGAGGTTGCATGATTAGAAAACATATTCCGCAAACAATGTAACACAAAAATATGAATATTTCCGTTTTCCTTTTTTATTACAACATGTTTGAATCGTTATCTATCGTGTAGTTGTCCAATTTTCGATCACGACCGTTGATAATACCAAATTTCGTTTATCCGAAATACTCATTAATCATATGCAACCAACAATGTCAGATGAACGGGACTTGACTGTACTTGTAGATACACACACTGATGACAAGTAACAAAACAGTTGTAAAAACAGAATGCACGCAACATTTGATCAAGCTGCCACAACTGAAGATGTCATGACAATTGTTTGGGTCCATCTTCAAACTTGAAGAATGCTATTTATAAGCACTTGTAAACAAGAACGTTTGCCCAATTCCTTGCCAACTTGGTGTTCTGAATCCCACTGTTTACCTTGTGGAAAATTCTGTTCATTAAGTCTGTTCACTTGTTCATCATGTTCCTTCAGTTTGTCCAGTTTACTTGCATACTAGTTCACTAATATAACACATTGTCACAAGATATTGTTTACTAAGAAAATATCATTTGTATGTGTACATTTAGGCACCATTATGATTTTAACCATGGCTTTGGCATTCTATTACAAGGAATATAGAACCCTACCCATACTCACCATTTTCATTTGCTAACCGGATGGCCTGAAATGAAAGTGACAAATCAATATTTATATCGCTGTGTATAAGGCGAGTTTTTCGTACCTCGAAATAGGGGGCTTTCAAGGGGGGTCGGCTTATACACCGGGTTGAAGAGTTGTGATGTTTTTCCCCCAACACAGACATAACTGTGAGCACGTAACACCGGATATACCTTGCCAACAAATCTGTAATGACGTACGCAAACTACTTATGTAATTACACTGTCTGGTTATAAAAACAGTTTATTATCATTTATAGACAGGGTATATAAATTAGCATCGATTTTAAAGGCTTGTACAGGGGGGTCGTCTCATATGTTGGGTCGCTTTATAGACGGCGATATACGTTATAACCTCAAACATGAGAATTAAATCTTACTGTGCAGTCTGTTTTTGTAATAGTCCCTGAATACATTTAACAGGCACTTATCACTTGATCTAGGATAACTAAATGCAATAACAAGCATGAAATACTCATATCCCCCCACCAATATGACATGTCCGGTTGTGTGCAATGCATTAGCTCCTGTGATCTATGTTCACTGGGCCTTTTTGTAAATGGCCTAAATTGCAGCACTAAAATAAAGTTATTACTGGTGTTGTTTCCCATCTGCAGTTTATGATAGAATATGTAACTGTATTTGTAATGAGTAAAGATGAGACATATGGACGAACAACTTCTTTATTACAATTAGGATCTATGGTTTCTGTGTAGGTTCTAACACCGTTATCAAGCAAGTGAAGTACAGAGTATGGTTGACCAGAATATATACAGGATAGGAGGCAGTGTTTATACAGTTGAGTAGGTTTAAGATCAGTTACACTGTTGTATTTGTCATGAGTTGTGTTTCAGCATAAAGTTAGTCAATGAATGCAACAACCGTGTCCATGACACTTTTGGAGGAACATACACACAAGCAATGCCGAACTTACCAACAAGAATGGAAATGAATTCAATACTGCGAGATGACATTATGTGCCAAGTTTGGTGAAGAAATATGGATGGTTTTCAAGATCTGCTCCGTAAACGAGGACTACCACCATTTTCAGTCTAAGTCAAAGTTGTTGCCATGGAAACTCGAAAATAAGTTCTTCAAAAATCCCAAACTATCAAAAGGCACCAGTTCACCAGTAGACCTATCTATGTGCCAAGTTTGGTGAAGAAATATGGTACGGTTTTCAAGATCTGCTCCGAAATGTGACGAAGGATGAAAGGATGGAAGGACGGATGGATGGAAGGAAGGACGGATAATAAATGACCAAGGTTCCCTAACTACATGACTTTGTATTTACTGAATTTAGCTGTGAATACCAACTACTTACCAAAAACTATAACAATAAAGCAACAAGGAAGGAAATTGTAAAACAAAGAAAATCCATGTTCCATTCTTTGTTTACTTGATAAAACGCACCATACACACAGTCCTGCAAACATTCAAGCTTTCCATGGGAATCACATCCGTCAAACTTAATGTAAACAGAGACCTTGAACTGTTTGTTTATAAATATAAGAGAGCTACACAAAAAATCACAAAGAAAAATGGTTTATTTCATGATAAAACATTGTTCTATCATGAGGTCATTTCTGGAGATTCGAACATGCGCTCGCAACTTGATGACATATATTTAGCAACGTTATTTTTGAGAGGGGAGTATCTGGTGAGTTGTTTTCCATAGATGTAGCTGGGCAACCAGATAAACGTGATGGCCAAAAGATTGCATGCAAAGGCGGGAGAGATATGACAAGCAGTATTGGGAGGAAAGGTACAGTTAATTGCTGTGAGGTTTATGAGAATAAGCGGTATACACCACTTGTGCATAAAATGGATTTGTACGATTCTATTGAGGGAGTCATCATTATTTAAAACAAGCGTATAGTTGACGAAGTCATCTATATCCCCCGCCATTTTAACACATTATGGTCCCAAACCAGGTAACTGACCCAACATTTCTCTTAGGCCATGTCAAAATAGCTGCAATGGAAATTCTAAAATAAACATTTATAAAACTCCTAAATAGCAAAAGGCACCAGTTCAGTATGTGCCTAGTAGACATGCAAAGTTTTGTAAGAAATTATTTAACGGTTTTTGAGTTACGCTCCGGAAACGAACAGCACCCTTATAGAACCTAAGTCCAACTTGTTGCCATGGAAACGTAAAAAATAAAAATTTATAAAATTCCTAAATAGCAAAAGGCACCAGTTCAATATGTGCCTAGTAGACATGCAAAGTTTTGTAAGAAAGTATTTAATGTTTTTTTAGTTACACTCCGGAAACGAACAGCACCCTTATAGAACCTAAGTCCAACTTGTTGCCATGGAAACGTAAAAAATAAAAATTTATAAAATTCCCACACATGCACACACACACACACACACGGACGGAACCCATTTCTATATCCCCTGCCAACTTCGTCGGGGCGGGGGATAAAAAGGCAAATATGTTGAAAGCTTGTACAATTTATCGTCATCCTTAAAGAGGCTGTACATTATGTTGATATCTCATATAGGAAATAAACGACACATGGTCGTTGTTTAATGCACAATAAAACACTGCAGGGAGAACAAACCACTTGAGGCTGCGCCCCTCATGGCTTATTCTCCCTGCAGTGTTTTATTGTGCGATAAACACCTCCCACTCGTCATTTATTTCTTTAACAAAACATAAAAAAATAAACTGCCTCCTGTCTCACAATTATAAACCATTTGGATGAAAATCTATTAACTCATTAACTGTGGCTATTACTTAAACTATTTGTTTTTGGCTCTGGTCTGTTGAATCCTGAACTTGAAACATACAAAGACGTGTCACCCTAACAATCCATTATCATGATTATTACCCAGGCTAAATCTGTGGCTCCCTGTGACTTGGTCTGTGTCCTCGGCGCATCCTCGTCGCTGTGCTGCTGCCCACCGCCAACTCCGATACCGCCGCGACTCAAACACACAGACGTGGACGCTATCTGCCTGGAGGGAATAAACTGATACGTCGACACTGGCATCTGGATTTGTCCTTTATATAAGTGATGTGGTCTTGTTTTCATAATGTCAGGTCTTCCTGCTGCTGTCGTGCCACTTGTATTTGTCATTGTGCCAGTGCTGACAACACAGTGTCTTGCGGTGCAGGAACTTCTGGACGGACAGAGCGTTGGTTTGAGGCAGGTGGACAATGTTCTCACTTTCACCATCTGAGTAAAGATGTTGGTTAGTCCCTTCATTGTGTACTTTTCTGCAAGAAAAATAATCCATGTTTAAACATTGAGGGTTGTAACTTTCTGATATTTGCACATACATTTTTCAGTACTGATTGGTAGGGCTGGGACGATACACCAACTGTGCGATCCGATACGTATCACGATAACTTGTTCACGATCCAATACGTATCATGATACTTGTGTGTAAGCCATCTTTCTCATATACAGGATAGTCAAATACCTGGCACAGATTTACGTAACGGATGAAAATGTTTTCTTTTCCACTACTAATTAGTGTTTGGTGTAACAGCCATTAAAGTAAACATTTAAGGTATGAATCGATATTTTGTACTTGTGTGCGACTAAGATTGATACTTATATCGGGAAGTAAAATATCGCGATCCACCAATGCATCGTGTATCGTTCCACCACAACTGATTGGTCAGTTGAAGCATTGTTAATAAAATTATGACATGAGGTTATCCATTGTTCATTAAGTAACAAATAGTAAACATTACATCATCTGAAATGCAGACTTAATTCAGTGTAGTTTCTCTGTAAGCTGGCATTTCATAATGATACAGTTTTTTTCGTTTTCTTTCTTAGTGATTGAGTGAGTTTGGTTAAATCACACATGAATTCCAGTTTGAACAATATATCAGGTATATCAGGGAATGTCAGCTTGAGGAAAAGGAATGCCCAAAGTAAGGCAGGTCTTCGATGTTTACCACTTACATGAAACCCAGAAGGATGTATATGGTGCTGACTGACCAAGAAACATGATCATGCAAATCTGGGACTCAAACCCATGATCACAGGTTCCTGACACGCCCAAGGGACACAACTCTGCACAACAATCTGGTCATGCATGCACTGAAGCTGACTGTTATATCTTTATTCAACCACATGAAAAGGCAGAAGGAATGGGTGCCTAGTCAGAAGGAAATGTGAACATTAGTGACTTGTAGTGTAACCATAGTGTTCAAGATAATTTTTGTCATTAAACAATATATCACGTGACTAACCATGGGTCCGGGTAGTCCTGTGGGTACCCGGGTCCTACTCAGTACCCACCCGACCCGCGTACCCGAGTTACCCGTCCCTGCCCTAATATATATAAACGTAAAAGTCCGTCGATCATACTCTTGTGTCGTGAACAGGTGTGAGGTAGGTCTAAAGACAGTTTCGCGGAGACCGGACGATCATCAAATAGCATATCCGACATGACGTGACCCTACTCAGTTGAACTCTGTACGTGAACGAAAACTGAACAATAACTTCAGGATTACTAACTACGCGAAATATGTCAAAACTATACCATCAATAATTCACGTTACCATTTTCATTGAAATAAATATAATAACAAAATTCCAGATAACGTTGCTTAATAGGTAATGCACGCATGACAATGATGCACATAGGAAAAAACACTAAACTCACCGAATCAAGTTGGAAAAAATAGAGTTATCTGCCGTTGTTTACAGGCCAGGGTCAGAGCGAGCAGTCGTAAAAGGTTATTGAAGCGGCTGTAAAATATCCACGTTTACCACATCTACAGTCGCCTTATATTAGATCAACCAAAGACGTGTATAGATTGTATACGTCCTTGGATAAACTTAATCAAGAGCGTTTTATTTATTTTCCTGAAGTGAATGTCGTTAAAAATCGATTAACTCACTGAATAATCATATATTTGCAATTACCAAAAAGTAAATTTCACAAAACATAATCCTTTTAGGGTTCTTTGCCATTATATACCCGCATGTAAATCATTACTTGTAAAAATCTAGCTTTCTGATTGGCCAGTCAAACAGAGAATAGATATCAGTTTTTTATGAAACTATGGTATATAACCAAGCGAAGGTGCCAGCTGTCTAAAACATTACAGTTCACGTAACAGGCATACACAAACCTACGAGCGTGCCTTCAAATGATCGTGGTATTGTATTTATTACCCACGTTGAACATTGTATTGGTAAATAAATAACAATGTTTGTAAGTTAAACAGACCAAACCGAAACCTGTTGCAAATTAACACAATCGTTAACATGAATTGTGGTGGGAAACTTTGGACTTGCGCCAATATTTTAGCAGACGATCGCGTAGGTCGACGGGAGGTGTTGGTTTTGCCTTGTTCATTCGTTTCCAGATGAAATATGTTTCAACTTGACAATACAAAACACCATTTATTTTTATGATGTGTATAATGATTGTTTGTGATCGTCTGTAAATGCCTCTCGATTTCCCGAGATTCCTTCAGTTCTATCTCCTTGTAGTAAAAGTCTGTAAAAGTAAATGACAGATCGTTGAAACGGATAAAATGAGGTCAACCTCGATCTACACACGTGTGACGTACGGATTAAGTATCTCACAACCTGTTTCTTCACCAACTGGGTAATAAATACCCATACAAATCGGCAAGCCGGGCGATATAAGGGACAACATGAC